TAAACTTTTATACACATATTTAGAACTACGAGGGCTGTTCGGAAATTATTGAGACATTGTGTATATTCTTCTTTCTAATGAACGTTTTTCGGTGAAAATTTGCATATACGTTTGACAAACTCTAAGAAGTAATAAAAACAAGAAATATTTTAAAAATATTTTATTTCATCTTTTCAATGGAATATTAATAAGTCAGTGGTAGGGGTACCCGGCGCAGTCACGAAATCGGATATTGAAAATATGTAACACCAACGTTAAAACTCCCAGTGGATACATAGTAAGAGCGAAAATAATTCAAATTATGTATATAATATTTCAATTTAACTTTGACTTCATTTTGTGCAAGTTTGTTAGAATTTCTATCAGAAATACGGAGATCATTAAAATATTTACGCGCGCTATAGCTATTTGATAACGACGACAAAACGGATTTTGACGTCAAGGCGGAGCAGCGATCATACCTAAAATTTTGTGTAGCGGTATTGAGAACTCTTGTCCAGACTAAACGACCTGCTAAAACAATAACAATGCAATAAAACAAGTCTAAGGGTTTATTGTTTCATTGGTATATATCATTTTCTTACAAATAATTCAACCAGAGTAAAAATAAAAGCCCCGGACGACCATCAATTATTACGGACTAAATAACGTTGACCCGCGCTGCATAACTCGGTACTGCATGATGCTAAGTCAACCTGTATTTGACACTTTTTGTATATTTTACACTGGGGTAGCAACAGCATTGTTTTTTTTTTTTTTGTTTTTTTTTTTAAAGAATCGATTAAGAATTATAAGACAGTTTGATTTTTGAAATGTTATATGTAATGATAGAGGAAGTAGATTGAATGCACAATGAGAACATATCGGCTGACCTGACGTTAAAATGACGTAGCGATGCTGGTCCAGGTCAATAGACATATGCTTGTTTATAATTTCACCGGAACTTATTCAATTATCCTATAAATTAGAAATTTTGTACTTTTGTTTTATTTGTTCTTTAAAAAACGTTGACGAATTTTTATGAATTTATCTCTGTCCTTTGTGGAGTAAAAGTATTTGTCTCAATAATTTTCTAACAGCCCTCGTATTTAATGTTGATTCTCGGCGTTAAAACATTCCTCTATTCATATTTTGCAATAAAGAAAATAAATATCACTATTAAATACTGGTTTAAGAATTTTTAGTTTTTTCATGGGGGGGGGGGGGGGGGGGGCATACATATAGATGCCGAATTATATTTTTGGGATAGTTTTGAAATACTAGTTGGACCTGTGTTATAAACGCTATCATTATTAGTAAATTGTACAAGGTTATCATGGCATTGTTATGTTCACTGTGTAAATATGAGATGAAATATATTAAAGAAAAAAAAACAGAAAAATTTTCGGTGAATTAGAAGATGATGACTAGAAAGCTAACAAAGAGTGTCTGAAATTTAGAATAAATGTAGAACACAGCAAGCACGGATTGAGTCAGGGGTTCACTACCGTCAGAGAGAGAGACAGACAGACAGACAGAGACAGAGAGAACTGTTAATAACTTGGAGACATTCAAAAACACTTCCTTTCGACCCTTGATTAAATTGTGAATAAGTATATAAAAGGTCTATGTAGAGTCTTTGCATACCGGCATTCGCTGATACATGGAGTGGGATTCAAAATTCCCTAATTTGTTTTACTTTAATTTATAAGAGTTTCAATTTCAAGAAGAAAGACGTTCGGTTATCGTGCCATATGTCTGCCAGAATGACAAAGCGAGTGAACATTGTCAAAAGAATAACAAAAGGTAACTGAAAACATCGTAGTCTCGAGTGATAAACAAAAGGTATGTATTTACAAAAATAAATAAATAAATAAATAATAAAAATATGTGCATAAAATTATTTATATATATATATATATATATATATATATATATATATATATATATATATATATATATATATATATATATATATATATATATATATATATATATAAAATAACTAAATAATTTAAAAAAATAAACTTCATTTTTTTTTTTTTTGGGGGGGGGGGGGGGCCCGTGCACTATATGCTCCCAAATCAGTAATTAGTGGACTTTATTTGTCTCGCTCCCTTTCTTTTTCTTAATTATTACGTTTTACATATTAAATAAACATTAACCTTTCTACAGAACGATTGATGTGGAACTTTTTAATAATGGTACAAATTCATGGTTATCACCGTTGTAATGCGAGATAACTCGTACGCACTTATGGAGAGATTACTCCTGCCAGCCACCCTGCAAGCGGTACCAGATAGCCTCAACCATAAATTTACCTCTTAAATGTCAAAATATGCTATATATCAGCACAATGAACTATTTTGGAAAGTAGGTCAAAGGTCAAGTTCAAAGGTCACGAGGTCGGTAAAAATGATATTTAACAAAAGCCAAAGTGCCAAGCAATATATGTGCAAAATATCAAATCCATACCTTTTACAGTTTTCAAGATATAGGCTGTGACAAATGGACAGACGGACGGACGGACAGACGGACGCCGGGTAAAGTGATCCCTAAGTGTCGCTCTGCATGCGACACAAAAAAACGTGTTGACCAATAAGCACGTTGACCAATCAGCATGCCCCTTGGCAACTCCGTTGATGTACATGTACCTTTACATTTATTAATTTACTTGATATTCCCACAGGTGCTTGAGGACAGGAACCCCCCCCCCCCCCGATATAGACCCCCCCCCCCCCCGGGCCTGACTTTTTTCTCATAAATTATCTTTCAATGACAATATTTGTGATATAATCTATACCAACAATTCGAAAAATTACCTAAAACAAACATTTTATAAAATCTACCCCACTGTCTATAATTTATATATATATATAGGGTAGGGTAGTAATTTTTATGAAAGGTTTGTTTAAGTCAATTTTCCAAATTGATGATATAGAGATTATATCACAAATGTGTCATCCATATATAATCTATGAGAAAAAAGTCGAACAGGCCCGGGGGTCTATATCGGGGGGGGGGGGGGGGGGGGGTCCCTGTCCTCAAGCACCTGTGGATATTCCTTATATATCTAATTTTTTTTATATGTTCCATGTAATCATCTATATCTATTTTGTTCCATTCTTTTGCAAATATTTAGTCATACATTGCATACTTTGCAGATAAGACGAATCTAAAAATGAATTAAAGATTTTTTGTTTTCTTTTTAATTTTCTGTTTTGTTTTCTTTATAGTTATTTCACTTCCATTCTTTATGTGTTCATTTAACAGACATGTTTTTTTTAAGATAACGCACACATGTACGTAGATTAGAATAATTAATAATTATCATGACGTTAATTATTTATTTTGTATTGTATTTTCTTCGCCTGGACTTGTTTTAAATTACTTTAATTTATTAATCAATTGATATTTTGAAAAATTATGTGGTCATCAATTTTCATGTATTTTGTCAGTTACCTGTTCCGGGGATATAAAGGGTGCAAAGGAAGCGCAGTCTGTAGAAATTGTGAAAGATATATAGAGGATATTCAATGTTTTGTAGTTGGATATGGAATTTATTTCACGAGTGGGGCGGGATTTTTTTTATATTTACACGAGTGCGAAGCACGAGTGAAAATATTAAAAAACTGTCTCACGAGTGAAATAAATTCCATATCCTACTACATACCATTGAATTTTCTGTTTATTACATTTTCTTTGATTTTCCCTCTGCCCCTGTCTTTTCACCATGAAATTGTGAAATTCATGGCCCCTGCCCCACCCCCCCCCCCCTCTCCCGCCCTGGGCGCTGAGGGGTGGGGCTAAAACGATAAAAATTAATGCAATCTTTAAAAATCTTCTTCTTTACTCCTGGACATCAAGCAGCCAAACTGTTGGTATGATTCTAATAAGTATTGTCGCGGAAAAGCTGTAGTGCCCAATTGCGGAAAAGTGAAACTGTGGTAGAATTTTATCAATCCAAGAAGCTCAGATCTCTCTGTTTTCATTTCAGATCACATATTATTATTATGCGGTTTTCATTTTGGTCAGTCTTTCCATATCATGTACGTGAATATATTATCAGTCAGATGTTTGACGATATCAGGGGGAAACATTTTCCATAGACATGTCTATCGACGTTAAATCTACAAAATAAAAAGTGTGTAATTACATAGATTTATTTTCAGCATGTTGTCCACCTTCATTTGTCAAGGATTTGTGTAGAGGAACGATATTTAAAATAAACTTTGACAATTTTTTTTATAGTATACTTTGCCACTAGCACTCTTCTGCGAACCAATTTTTATAAGATAATCTAAATTTGAGTCGTTATTTCCGCAATAAAATAAAATATATGATAATACGAAAATAATCTAGCTTAAAATATATTAAACACAAACTGCATGTGACTAGATGCCCTCAAGATTTACGTATTTTAAATGTTATATATAGCTTAAACACATAAACCACCACCTATTATAAAGAGTTGCACTGTCTTGAAGTTGAACCATTTTTTTTTTCTTTCTTTCTTTTTTTTTTTTTTTTTTGGCTTCAGCAGTTCAAAATACATCAAATCTACTGGATTTATACTTGCAACGTACACAGAAATGTGAATATTTTAAGATTAAACAATCCTATGGACATTTTAAATGTTACGTTTTTTAGACGTTTCTTCCTAGAGCTTGATCTTAAAACGACGTGCTACATTTTAAATACTTTAAAATTCTGCCTTATCACCCTATTGTAAAGAAGGGACAATACGTATTTCCTGGCTTTGGGAAAAGGAAACTTTAAAGAAATCGTTACAAATGGGGAACAAATTCGCATAAAAAGCTTTGTCACGGATTAGCAGCTAGGATTTTTTTTTCGCTGAAAAGCAGCTCCATTTGCGGAATGAGGAATAGCGTTTCAGCAGATATGTTGTAATGTTAAAAATATCAACTCCATTTCAGTCAATCCCATCTTGATACACATATCGTCATTCGAGTTAATATACTGAAGTGTTTGTCTTAACCAAAAACTCATTTTATTTTTAGTGGCGGAACTGCTTACTCATCAGCACATTTCGGTCAAGGAACTGGACAAATATGGCTTGATGACGTCCAATGTAATGGATGTGAATCTACATTGAGGGACTGTATGAAAAATCCGGTCGGAGAGCACAACTGTAATCACAACGAGGACGCTGGTGTATCTTGCTGAGGAGAGCTAATTCAGAAGAGGAGTAATCCTCCTTTTTTTTAATTTGCCTAGGTGCCCCATGATATGTGCCATCCATAAATAAATCAAAGAAAAAGTGATTTTAATCTTTTTTAACTTATATGTTCATATGTTCATGTAGCATAAAGACCGTTAAGCTCTCCCAGTGGACACTGTAATATGGATGACTGAAAACCAAAGGTAGCGTATGCTCTGAAGAATTGAATAACAACTTTTAAGATGCTGCTTTTATGAAAAAAATTAATGGAATAAATAGTCTGTGATTTAACATTTTATGTTCATGTCACCATCATATACCCTTCTAATATTCCACTGATTATAAATAACAGCAATTCATTAATATTTGCTCAATTCCTAAAATTCACTTGAATTAACCATTACACCCCCCCCCACCCCCCACCCCCAATAGTGTTTTCACAGATCGAGACCACTATATTTTCTGACTTAAGTATAATTTTTCATGTATCTCTAAACGTAATCAATTCAAAGTAATTGTAAATTTATTTTCAATTATTTATTTATTCAATTATTATAATATATTTATTTTCAATTCTTGATCGCTGTTTATGACGTAAATATTGAAAGTAATGTTTAATCTTTCAATTCTATTCTCACGCAATTGTTGGACGGGTAATAAATGTGCTATTTAAGATTTTCTTTTAGGAATGTTAAAGACATAAAGTAAAGGATCATTCTGGTTGTTTAGAAAAGAATGATTTTTGTTCAAATAAAACAGGGGGGGGGGGGGGGGGAATTATATATATATATATATATATATATATATATAGATATATAGATATATAGATATATATCGCTTATAAGTACCAAACAGCATTGGAGATTGAAAAAGAATAATTTATGAAGTCAAGGTTTGATTATTTACTCTTAATTCTTTTTTGAAATAAAATTACCAACCAATAATGACAACTTAATTTTTGTTAATCAGAGTGTATACAAAGTGACTATTGAAGCGGTACATAAAAGCGTTTGACGCGTAACCAGGTAATAGTTTTCAAAACAAGCATACTCAGATTATCAGGTAGCACAGGTAGCTGGCCTGTCAATCAAATCAGAAGGTTTTTTTTTTTTAATGATTAACAGGCAGTATATCATTGATCTTGATTTAGATAGATTTTGGGGGCGCGCGCTAACGTAAAATTGGGTGTTTAAGACATTTATTGTTACTTGTTTTCTAAAATCCTGAGCTCTTCTACCATCCTCTCTAAAAGCTTGTTAACTATTATTAAAGGATTTTGTGGTATCTTCCTAGATAGTATCTTCTGCTAGATATTTGTAAGCACACCCTTTTAATGACAGATGTGAAACGAACTAAACTAAAGTCAGGTAACCTTTGGAGGCCAAGATCACGGCCAGGAACACGTTAAGTTCCTTGACAGTACCGTTGTCAGAAACCTTTAAAGTTAAGCACTGAAACTGGTTCGTTGTCATGAACATACAGGTGAGGTTATGATAAAATCCGTCCGGTGTCATGACTTGAGAAGACAGGCTGTAAGAAGTTTTTTATTTTTCCAAGTTAAATTATCTATAACAATGTCTGAAATTGCAATGGGAAACAGGGCTGACACCCTATTTGGTGCTGTATGAATTTCAGCCGTTAAAAACAAGTAATAAAAGAAGAGTTTGCGTTGGCGACATTAACTCTGTTGAAATCACTTGTGGATTTGATTCGTTTTCCTACTGAGATGTGATATTTTTCGTAAATAGAATATAATATACACACCAATTGGTGCAGACAGTATCAAGACATGTTGTAAGCCTTTACAGAAAAATTGAGAACAAATTAAAACTGAAAATTTTGATTTATTTCAATTTTTGTCCGTTGTCATGACAAGATACGAAAATTCAGTCCGTTGTCATCGGTCCGTTGTCGCTACTGTATTGTATACATTACGATCTTATGTTGTTTTAGGTATCGTTAAGCATGCCATCAAAAAGAGGGGTGTGACGGTACATATTGTCGTTTTGTATTTATTGTCGTCGGCGACAAAATGTACCTACCATGACTGCACATATCGTCGTCCATCGATAAATATTGTCGACGGCGACAATGTGTACCGAGACGAGCCTTTTTTTCCTCCTGCGTAATGGAAGACAAACTGTACAGTCAAGCATCGGCGCGTTTCGTCGTCGGTGACAATATGTACTGTGACCATTGGCACATTTTGTCGCCGATATATTGTGTTGAATATTTACTGAGATCGTGAAGAGAGAGATGGAGAGAGATTGACACACATACACAGAGAAAATACTGAGGGAGAAATGGTGTTGCTCAGAAAATTGTGTCCAGCATTGATTTCCATGACTATGATATGTCAGAATACCGTAATTCTTGAGATATCTGAAAAAAATCAGTCTATTCTTTTTTTTTCTCGTTATACATACATGGATATGAGATTGAAAGTTATTTGTTCAGTAGAAATGTTATCTGGAATTCATTTTTTTTTTTGCTTAATTCTCATACAAGTGCCGATATAATTGGTGTAGGAGTTGACATATTTTAGCTCACCTGAACTGATAGCTCTAGTGAGCTTTTCTGATCACATTTCTTGTGTCTATTAAAAGTTTTCCGTTGGAATATAGGGTATACAAAAACTTTTAAAATCTTCTCAAGAATCAAAGCGGATCTAGCACCGGCGCACCTCACCCCCTCCCCGATCCCTATCCCACCCTGCCCCCTCCGTTTGATTTTTCATTTTCTTTGCCTTTGTAAATTCTGGTTTTTTAAACCTGTATATACTCTCAATTTTGTCCACAGGTAAAATTTCATGATTAAATAATATACTTAACTTATACAGTAACACTTCTTCACACACAAACGATTTTTTTTTTTTTTTGGCTTGTCAAAAAAAAAATCTGAACCGCACCCCCCCCCCTTTCTCCGTTTTGAAATTTTTGGATCAAATATTGAGAACAGCAGTAGGCCCGTGATTAACGATGTTTATATGGAAGCATCCTCAAGTAGTGTAGATTCAAGTTTCTTTTAATCATGACCCCCGGGCCTAGGTTGGGGCCACAAAGGGCGATCAAAGTTTTACACAGGAATATATAGGAAAATTCTTTAAACTTTTTCTTCTCAACAACAGCAAAGTAATGATTAGTCATATCTACATTGCCATGCATTGTCATGCGACATGTACTAATGGACGACAATATGCTCAGTGAGTTTATGTACACATTGTCGCCGGCGACAATCTGAATAGGACGACAAAATGTACCGTCAGAATCACGCTGCATGAATACATGTAAGCATACGAGGTACGTCAATGTGATTTACACACCAATTACATTTACAAGTCCACCAAAAACAAGAGGCCCATGGGCCACAGCGCTCACCTGTGCACTTTGGATCGGAAATAGCAGAAATCAGTTCGGTATTCAAAAGTTTAAGGAGGCTGGGGGTCAACAAATTAACCACAAATTAACCACCAGATTTAACTTAATTTTTTAGATACGATATCTTAAGCTGACAACTATCATTTAGCAAAGAAAAATTTCAAAAATTTTAGTTTTAAAATTTGATCTTTCTCTATATCTTCATATGGAGCTCTTCTTCTAAAGGAGATCAATATAGTCTAAAAATGGTCACAACCCCCCAGCCTCTTTAAATATTAAAGTGCGGGAGGGGTATGATTTGCATAAACAAACTTGAATCTACACCACCAAAAGATGCTTTTGAACTAATATGACTAATAATGGCTTTGTTTTCTAAAGAAGAAATTTTTATTGATATATCATTTATAGCCCTTTTTTAACTATAATCCCCTGTTTGACCCCTCTGTGGGATCATGATTTGAACAAATTTGAATCTACATTACCTGAGGATGCTTTTATTTTATGATGACCAATCACGTTTCTGCTGTTCTTGAGAATAAGATTTTTAATGATTTCCCCTATGTATTCCTATGTTAAACTTTGATTTGAATAAATTTGAATCTACACTACCTGAGGATGCTTCCATAAATATGACCAATAATGGCTTTGCTGTTCTTGAGAAGATTTTCAAAGATTTTTCCTATATTATCCTATGTAAAATTTTGATAGCTACTGTGGCCCCATTCTACCCCCGGAGTCATGATTTGAACAAACATTACCTGAGGATGCTTCCACATAAGTTTCATATTATCGGCCGTTGTCTTGCCCGATTTTTTTTTTCGTCGGCCGACCAATTTTATGCATGTCAGTCGGGTCAAGTTATTTTTTATTTATTTATTATTATTTTTTTTGCGTCTGTGGCCGATTCAATTGAAGCACTCATTGAATAGTCCGTCCACCAACCTTCGATCATAGGCCGACCATCGGCATACAGTTTTTAAAGTCGGTCGTCAGTCGGTCGACATTTAGGAATTGAGTTTTCGTACAACTGCCGGCCGAAGATGAAAATCAAACTGCGGCCTGGCGAACGATGATCGGGCGACGGTTGGCCAACTTATAAATATTTTTACTTTTAAAGGTATCGGTGTTCCCTGGAATTAATGTGACTACTCTGTGTCGCCCGATACTAGTGTCGGCCGATCATGTTTTTTTCAGCCGAGGATACGACAATAATTTGGCCGCCCGACCATCGGCATGTGACCTAAGCATAACATTTTAATTTTGTTATACTGATGATATACAAGGAATGGTATATGTTTGCATACTAGCTAGGATGCAGGTTCCTAAGAGAAAATGAATTGAAAAAACATCGCTGAATAGTTAGCACATTGGTGTGAGCTGCTTTAAGACGACTCCGAGATTCAAATATATTTGTAATATGCTTTGTATTTTTTTTAAATAAAGCATATATTTGATCATTTCTGTTGCATTTTATTGATTTACTTACATGTTAAGAAAAATGACACCGGACCAGATAAACTTAACATGTACTGACAACGGACTTTTTGCTTATAAACTGCGATTTCTTAAAACATGTTAGCTATACAAATGGCTGTCAGTTGCCTAATACATTGAAAATGAAGTTTCTC